AAACAGTGTGTCAATCTCTCTTGATGATAACTGGTTATTTCTCGCATTGAGCGTTTTCTGATGCTCTTATGTTCTGAAAACTACTGGCACGACAATCTGTTGACTGAACCCGTGTGCTGTGTGCGTTACCACTTTCTTTTTGTTTTCTTTCGAGCAACTTGAAGCTCAAACATTGCCCTGGTAGAACATTTGGGGAAATCGTCCAAGACCTTGTTTCTTTTTCTGTAAGACTCGTGAACACATGTATTTGAGCAGCACTGTTTCGTGTTCCTTATTAACTCTTGCCACTCATTCCCGCCCCACTCCATGACTCCTGTGGCTCCATGGGCACCTTTTTCGCTCCGTTGTTGAGATTCATTCCAGAAATCGATCTGTTTCAGGTCATTTTCACTATGATGAACTTCGAGGAGATGGATGTGACTACAATGCTTTCGGCTTTTATTGGAATTTTAGTGATCATGGTTTCGTCAATATTCTACTTTACTAAGAAGCAGAGCGAAGAAACACCACAAAACCATGAGGAAGAGTGCGTATTGGTGATCTACTTTGATCGATGCCAATGAATATCCTTACTATGTACAATTTTTAGTGAAGCTGCTACACTGGTAGAGGAGGTGGATGAGGATGCGAAGTTGGATGCGACTAGGAAAGCCAATAAGCACCGAAAAAATGACCACTGGAAGCCGAAAGTAGGCTTATTACCATCTACTCCCATGAGCTACTTCAAGTATTTCATGGCTTTTTTTCATATTTCATGCATTTCACTTTCAGGTGAAAGATGCCTCTTACGATCACATGTGGTCGGTGACTACCTTAAAAGGGCACACCGCTGATGTTACTGGCATGGACTTCGCTCAAGATGGCAAAAAGTTCGTCACTGTCTCTAGTGATAGAGCTGCATTTTTGTGGGATGTGCGAGTGAGTTGAAGGCTTCTATGCACACTATTTCCAGCGCTGGAGAAATTGTGAATTGTGTTTCGCGCCCATTTTCGAGGTTCCGTGAGAATGAAAGAACAGGAGAAAACTTGAAATCTGCTAAAGAATAGTAGATGAGAATTCTTGAGATCTGCTAATCGCTCGCCTATTCTAGTTACCTGATTTCTTGCTTTCCTCATCTGATCTTCTTGTCTTATACACCTGTTCGAATAAATGAAGTAGTACCTTCTTTTTCGACTGAATCTTCTGATCTCCTGATCTGCCAATCCCTGTCTCCATTCTTCAATGTATATCTCTTTTTCCCAAAACGTTGACCATAGGCTTGTCCCGTTTCAGACGTTGCGCCAGCAAGCGTTTCGCTAGAAATGCGCTCATTTCTTACCACTAGGATTTGTACCAGTTTTCGATAGCGGAATTGACTTTGGTACTAATTACGCTTTTTTGCGGAATCGAGTTTCTTATTCCTCTCATGAATTTCAGTTTACTTCATATGCTCGATATCCGAGAGTTGGGGTAGGCGTGTCACCGAAGTGACGTGCACTTGATAGAAGCTATGTGGATAAGCTGCTTCCAACATACATCGCTGGATATCAGCAAAGCATGCTGGCAACAGCTTATCCACGCAACTTCTATCAAGTGCACGTCACTTCCGGTGACACACGCCCACCCCAACTTTCGGATATCGACTGTACATAGTTCGCGACTTGAAACCATGTTGTTTTCCAGCTGGATAAAAAGCTTTCAATACTTTATAATCCAACTTACGAATCCTTTATAATCCAACTGACAAACGCTGCTAGCTAAATTGAAGTGCCCCAGGCAAACAAACGCTTTGCTAGTAAATTAAGTGCCCCAGCATAGTGAAGAGGCATAGCATCGAGTCAATACCTTACGTGTACTGGGTGACGGTTGGCTACGCCACAATTACCCGCACCACACCCATAGTCCCACTTGCCGCTGCGCTTGGTTCTGTATTGTCAATTTTTTCTTGGCGGAATTATTGAATTCACGGAAAACTTCAAGACTGAACTCAAAACAAGAAGCGCATGTCTAAGCAATTACAAATGCAGATCAAATGCTTCATGTGATCATAACTTCAGGATTTCGAAGAAAGGGAACACAAAAGTGTTCGTCAGATCTTGGATTTCGATACAGCAACGCAAGTCTCCTTCTCGCCAGATTGCAAAAGTGTTGTATTTGCCATGAAGCGGTCTAATAAGGTAATGCAATGCTTTTAGCATCTCCGTATGTCATGTAGAAATTGATGGTTACGAACCGATTATCAAGAGCTCTTTGGTTTTTTTTTTCATAGTTTTATTGCTCTCTCATATTCAACTAGTTCACCATTCCTGCATGACAGTTACAACCGAACAAAAGATTACTGTCCAAAATTTTGTTGCTTCAGTTATACGAATTCAAGTTGCTGAAGAAGGAAGCTGGTGGCGCGTACAAATTTGTCCATGTTGAGAATTTGTCCTTCCCTTCTGCACATACCCTTGATATTTCCCACTCCGGTATTTCATCGAATGGTGAGCCGTAATTTTTTCTTCCATTTTAATTTAGGATAGTTTGTGTTTGTTGTATCGTAAAAATTTCTTGAGATTCTGAGTCTTCATTTATTTCTGATTGCGATCTCTTCTCAAGGGAAGTTTTTGATGTCGGCGTCACCAGACAATAAGATCGTTCTATACGATATCCATGGCAACATCTTGAAAGCATTGGAACCAAAGGTTGTTTTTCATCGTTTCCCTCTATGGAAAACTTCTGGGAAATGTACGAGAGTTGCAGATGAGCTCTCTTTTCGATGTGGTAATATCGCCAGATGGCCGATTTGTGGCTGCTTGTGGTTTCACGACGGAAGTTTTCGTTTATGAGGTCTGTCGATTGGTGGGTTTTCGTACTCTTCATTTTTTCTCAAGATCTGCTTTAGGTCGCCTTCAATCGCGAAAATGTGTTCCAAGATGCCAAAAGAGCTTTCGATTTGAAGGTCTGCATTTGTACTGTCATAATTCAAGTCTAGTAGTATGTTTAAACAAAAAAGTTGGTCTCAGGGTCATAATTCCGGTGTCTTCGCGGTGGATTTCAATGCAAACGCATCGCGTGCTGTTACGGTTTCACGAGATGGGTTCTGGAGAGTGTTCGACACAGAAATACGTTATGGTCAAGGCCAGGATGCCGTAATTCTTAACAAGTGGATTTCCAGTTCTAATTTTGTATCACATTATTGAGCTACCAGTTGGCGCCGCACGCGTTGCGCGCACACCACAGTTCTGCGGCGATATAGGATGGTGCGGGCGTGAATTTTCGAAATTTGGCCCAATACACTTCGAATACTTGACTTTCAAGCTGAATTCTATCCGATTGCCCCATGCTTCATCCACCGATGGCTTTTGAGCTTCCCTCCTTCCTCCACCAATTGTCCGTAATCGTCAACCAATTGTCCGTTTTTCCCGGCCTCGGACTGCCTCCGGACCGATTTATGAACCTCGTGGTAAACTCCGCCTATTTCTTTGCATGTCCCACCTATCTTTTTCTTCCTCGCCAACCTCTTCCCACTTTTACCCGATCTCTGAACTATCTCTGAGCCGATTTATAATTTTGGCGGCGAATCCTGCTTTTTTGGTGTATCCTCCGCACACCATTAGAAATTTCACTTCCTTTCCTTCGCTCACTTCTCTCCCGGTCTCCAGCACTTCTGCAGCTGAGTCACAAAGTTTTGTGGAGAACTCCGCCCACTTTGGAAATGCCCCGCCCACCAACAGCAGTTGGGCTCCATTTCTTCACCCACCTCTATCCCTTTATCCCGTGCGACAATCTTGGACCGAGTTATGAATTCTGTCGCAAACTCCGCCCACTTTGATGTACACTCTACCCAGAGATAGCAGATGTTCTCCCGTGCGTTGTCGGACACGACCCACTCCTTGCCGATTACCTGGACTTCTCGGAACTAAGCTATAAGTCTAGGGCAAACCCCGCCCACGTTGGTGCAAGCCCTACCCACCGATGACTTCGTCTCCACTCCTTGACCCATCTCTGTCTTCCTTTTTTCCAGTCTCCGGGACTTCTTGGAACCGAGTTATGAATTTCCGTCGCAAACTCCGCCCACTTTGGTCATGCCCCGCCCACCATTAGCAGTTGGGCTCCACTCCTTCACCCACCTCTATCCACCTTTTCCGGCTCCAAGACTTCTCCGGCCCGAATTATGAGGACTTGTAGAAAACGCTGTACACTTCAGAGCGCGCCCGCCCATTGTGGGCGGGCCTCCGCCCACGTCATGTATGCTGGAAACACCTTAGACATTGCTCCCTTACACCAATTGTTTTCTGCTCTGTAGGCTTTCTCCCAACCGAGTTATGAAATTTTTCATAAAGCACTGCTTTTTTGGAGAACGCCCCGCCCACCGGGGGTGGGTCTCCCTAATTCGATGTGACTTACCAATGCACACCTTTACCCACTTTTTGGCCCAGTTTCGAGGTTGTTTTCACTGAAATTGAAATCTTGGTCTTCGGTACAGTTCATTTCGACGCACGCCCTCTGTGGGCGGGGCTCCGCTTAGCTGATGTGTGTTTTGTATTCGTGAGACCTTGCCCACCCATCCCACACTTGACCCGGTCCCTCCAGGCGGATCCCGAGGAGCTAGGGAATTTCGTGACAGACATACAGAACGACAGACAGACGACAGACGAAGCGCTTTATAGTAGTAAGATGATGGAAAAGTCCCCATTTGAGTGCAAGGATGTTCCAGTGCAATGTTTCGAGCTTTCAGAGGAGAATGGTCAATGCTGAAGGGAGCCAGCGCTGATCGCGTTCGTTTGGCGATGAGTCCTTCTGGGGAGACAGCTTCGCGCGTCTCTTGCGGTTCCACTCTCAAAATATTCAGCAGTGAGGATGAACAAAAAGAATTCCCTGAATGTGAGTTAGATACAAAATTTCTTGAAAGCCTTAATGTTATACTTGGTAACTTTATGTTCAGTGCATGAAGTTCATGGTGATCAACGAATACTCGCTATTAAATATTCACCTTGTGGTCGACTAGTTGCTACTTGTGGAGATCGTTATGTCCGTGTTTTCAGAAATATACCTGAATATCATAGTCAGGTGGTGCGACTGAGCAAGGTGCGCTTCGATACCGATAGCGTGTTTTTTTTTTTTTGAAAAGTTGACGATTTTTAGAACTTGAAAGAAGTGACTGGTGACGCTCCTAGAAGACGTATACTTGAGCAAATTGAGGAGGCGAAACAGTTCCTGAAGAAATATTGTGTTTAGGAAATGACAGCAGAATATTTATTACTTGTTACGTGGTTTGTTATTGAATGGGGCCAAAGCATCCCTTGGCGCTATAGCGAAGACGAGTGCAGACTTTGAAAAGGCACAAATTATAATTTTTTTTTAAAAGCAGTCTCCACAACTAGGTAACTGAGGTAGCGCACAGAAAGCAAGTTTTCTTGGATACTAGCTATTCACAATTAGCAACGATACTCAAAGAAAATATAGAGCTCGCAAATTTCTTGTCTCTATACCAATTTTATTTAATTTGTGGACATGAGAATTTTGATCAGCCCGTTGTACATGTTGTTACCATAGGAGTCCGTGCCATCGGTCCAGGAGCGGGACCTGATATATGAGATAAGGTTTGAAGGATCATGTTTACCGCCTATGAATGTGAAGCCAGAGCCATTCGTTATCTTCTTTTAGAGCGTCTACTGATTATCCACAGAAAATCACCTTGTCGTGGGGACTGCTTCTTCTATAATGAAAACAAAAATCAACTGTTTTGACATCTGCATAAGCTTTGCTCTAGCAATAAGGATCGTTCGGGTGCTCTATGTAAAATCTATTTTTATACAGAATATAAATATAATTTATTATGTTTTTCCTACTGGTGATAAGACTACATTTGTCATGTCCTTCTTTTGTTTTTTGTTTATATATTTGAATTTGTTGTAATGAAGGTTGATTTTTTAGCTCATTGCTTCAGAGAAGGAACCGGATTTTCCCGATTCATAGCAGAGTTTCAGAGGAAAAAAATGGTGTCACAGATCTTCAGAGAGATTATTTCATTCCATTCATCACGCGCAAGTCAGTCTGGCGTTCAAAAACCAGTGAGATGAGATCACCTACTATTACAATACTGATAAGAGATTTCAAGAAAGAAGAAGCTCGAGTGCGAATTCAATTGTTCCAGAGATAGTTATTTGTTTATGAGGTACTAATAATCGTGTCCAGGAGCAAATATAGCAATTCTTTAATCTTTTTATCCAAATTATGATGAGGTTTTTTGATCGGAGCGTTCAGTGTCAACAGAAGGTCATCTTGAGAAAGCTCTCCGGTACTATCGAACTGTGCTCAGTGTAGCGTAGATCCTGTGTGATCTGAAAAATCTTCGTTGGCTGATCGTTAGAAAATTTTTGAGCAAATTGGCCATAATTTGTCTGAAGTATGTTAGCCGACACTGTTTGGGTGCTGACTGGATATAACCAGTTATCCCATTTTTGGTCTCGTCGTGACTTGAACCCTCGAGCCGGCGCCAGCTACGTCTCCATAGGGCCCCGCTTGCGTGCTAGACTTATTTTTGATTTGCTGGCGCTGAGCTTTCATGAACAAGTCTGACTACTGGGTCGGTGATGACTTTGGTGTTTCGTTAAACGAGCGGGCATCACTCATAACTCGGTCTGATCCAACCGTATTCCAAACACGCACACACGTGGAAAAGCAGAGAGAATAGGTGGGTGCGGCTGGTGTCCTATGGTTGGTGTCAGACCTTGCGAATCCAACGATGTGCTGGCAGCGAATCCGTGGACTCGTTAGCGAACCGCTGGATTCGCAATCTGACATTTACCTGAAAGCCCTTTCAGTTTACTTCACATTCAGATAGGTAGCGTTGACAGGAGTAGGGTGCAAGATTGGATCGAAGCCGCGGTGCTCGCTCTTCAGCTATTGCCGCTCTGGTCGTGTTGCTATCAGGCGCTAAAGAAAACTGCATAGGCCTGTCCGACTGTAAACGCAAGAATAAACAACAACAATGGGTACCCGACAGGAGGTCCGTCGCGTGGCAAGAAGGCAGGGGCAGTGGACGAATCATAGCGTGTACTGTAGTGTTTTCACGTCAAGTTGAATAGAATTTACTACTGTACGTCCTTCGTCACACATCTCGCTGCGACTCGTCCACTGACTCTGGCTTCTTGCTACGCGACTGGGCCACCTGTCAGTTACCCACCTAACGATGTAACCCCCATCTCAGCTCATGCGGTGGACAGGCGCATAGACTGCCCAGTAGAGGTGTTCATGAACTTCTGTTGGCTTCTTCCACATGATGCAACAACTATTCGATATCGGTAATGCCATTGACAGGGTGTACGTATCGGAAAAACTCTGCAGAGAATTTTAGAATAATCGAAAGTGGCACAGTGTGACGTCTGAACGTGGAGTGCGGCAGCTTTCTTAATGCGAATAGGAACTACTGCGTTCTTTTTCAGTCTGTTAAGCGTGAACTTCTGACCGAATTTGCTCAGAGAGCAGCAACAAAGCACATGTAGTTTTTTGTTTCCATTTAAAGGAGGATTCACGATAAGAATGAAGGTCAAAGAAGGAAGAAAATTGCCTAGTTGGGAGACAGGCGGACCTCCTGAGGGTGGACGACGCGCAATTGGCAGCGAAAGATTTGACCTCGGCGATCTAGCATGGCTCACTCTTGGCGCAGTTGGCGGGTACGCCCACCGACATAGCAGAGAGAGCGTTAGCGTTGAAGAGGGCGCGATGAGTGCGGAAATCAACGGGACAAGGAAGGGGTACAGTTCTCGGACTCCGAGCCTTTTCTCATGGTTTTTCCTTCTTTCACTGACCATCCTTGACCTAATTGAAAGGGGTTGTCTTTCAAGATAAATTCCGCCTTTAATTCGCGCAGCTAAATTTTACGTGTATTGAGGTACGATCTCGACTAATTTGGTGCTTACTGCTTAATTTTTGAACAGAAATAAACATATGCTACAACTCGAGATAACATCTGCTTTTTTTTTACTGATCTTTACCTGATTGACACCGCCATACTTGACTGCTTCGCATGTATCGCACTCTTGATCGCATATAAGGCTGCTAATTACCTAAACAAATGACGTGAAAGATTCGTGGAACAATTACTGGATCGGTCTTGAAAGCCCTACTGATAAGAATCCAACTCATCTCGAGGTTAAGGCGAGGTTTTCGATGGAGACTCTACGGACGGGTTCAAGAAGTGCTGCACAGCCTTTTCCAGCCATAAATGGGTTACTCAAGGTCAACATGACTTCGTGGCCAACATGGTCACAGGTAGCTTAGACTAGGTTTTCTATCACCCAATTTTTTTGCAGCCGCGATTGTTTAGCTCCGCTTAATCGCAAGTCCATACGCAACGTAAAGTCATCGCTGCTGTGGGGATTTTTCAGAATACTTTTGAGCATCTGAAGTAGAGAGCACTCCTAAAGGTGGTGCCATCATTTTCGCGAAGACCAAGTGCTTAGCGTCAAAGATGAACTACGTGTTTTTGCAGCTATGGAAGTTATATACACCAAACTTCTGCTATTTAACATCGTTGCGTATGCAGACGCTGACCATTTGGCGTAACACTTAAAGGCAAAGGTCGGGCTCAGGCACGCTAGAGAAGTAATTCCCGTGCCTGGAGGTTGTATGTGGGTAGCTGCACACATTGCAGCAACTTCCCACCTTGAAAAACCCGTTAAGGCCCCGGGGCGTTCGGTTTCAATCCAGGGCCGCCTGGTCAATCCAGGACCGCCCACCTCCGGAAGTGGTGCGTGGCTGGCATAACGTGTGAAAT